GGGGGGGGGGGGGGGGGGCGAGGGGGACAGGCAGGAGGGGTTGCTCCAGGGGTGTGATGCGGCGGGGTGGCGGGCGGCATGGGGATGTGGTGCTGGCGGAGGTGGGCCCCACGCCCGGTGAGCGCGCCGTAGCCACCCTGCAGCCCCCTTGCCCGTTCGATTCCCCGGTGCGCACCGGAACTTGGCGCAGGGTGCCCCAGGCACGGACCCTGTGGCAGCCTCTCGCCGCCCCATTCCCAACCCCCCACCCCACCCCCCAAAACTAGGGCATGGACGTGTACAGCAACATCCTGTATGTCAAGGAGGAAAGCGCAGCGCTGAGCCACCTGGCACACAGCACGGCGCTGAACGACAAGTACCGCACCGAGACCTGCTGCATCATCGGCAACTACCACTCGCTCAAGGGCCAGCACGAGCGCGCGGCGCAGTACTTCCGCCGCGCGCTGAAGCTGAACCCCAACTGCCTATCCGCCTGGACGCTGATGGGGCACGAATATGTGGAGCTGAAGAACCCGCCCGCTGCCATCGGTGGGTGGAGGTGCTGTTGGTCGCCATGGCTGGGGGGGGAAGGAGTGTTTGGGCACCCATGGGCTTGCTCCGGGGACAGATGCCAGGTGCTGTTTGCGGAGGTGATGGGGGAACCCCTGCAGGAACAAACCCTGTGCACCTGACGCAGCGGTGCAGGGGGCGGACGGAGGATGCATCGGGGCGCCCATCCCCACACACCTCCCTCACACTCTGGCTTCTCCCTGAAAATCCACAGAGGCGTACCGGCGGGCGGTGGATGTCAACCCACGTGACTACCGGGCCTGGTACGGCCTGGGACAGACGTACGAGCTTGTGGACATGCCCTACCATGCGCTCTACTACTTCAAGAGGTGGGGGGCCGGCGGCGGGAGCTTGTTTCATGGGCCCTGCAGGCAGAAGTGTGGCCGCACGTTGCATGCTCGACTCATGTACCGATTCACACACTCCCACCCACCTTGTCCACTGTCCCTTCTTCACCCGTGTCCTGGCCACACATTGATTTCTCCCCCCTTCCCCCCCCAACCCCACCCCACCCCAACACCAGGGCCGTCTTCCTGCGACCCCGGGACGCGCGCATGTGGAACGCCATGGGCCACTGCTTCCAGGCGGGGGGCGAGGCAGAGTACGGACTGGCCATCCGGTGCCACATGCGGGCACTGCCCCACGATAAAGAAGGCGTGTCGCTGCATGAGCTGGTGAGTGCGGCGGGCGGGGCAAGGGGCGACGGGGACGTCTGGTGCAGGGCTGATGGTGGGTCGAGGGATGCAACCAACCTTCATGAGCCACAGGGCACAGGAGGTAAGGGACCGTCTGCATGGCCAACCAGAGAGTATAAGCCTTCGCGACCCCTCAATCCTCTGCTGGAACGGGCTATCTATGCCAAGAAGTGTATGAAGCACACCCTGGCCGGCACCTTCACTTCCCCCCCCAATTCTTCTCCAGGCAAAGCTGCATGCCCGCCTGGGTCAAAGGGCCCAAGCCGCGCACTACCACCGCCTGGTGCTGGAACGGATGGATGCCGAGGGGCTGGAGGGCCAGGATGCAGTGGAGGCCCTCACCTACCTCGCCGATTGCTATGAGGTGCGCGGGGCGCGGGTCAATGGGGGTGTAAGTGAGGTGTTGGGCCCCGGCTGTGATCCCTGGACAGGGGTGGCGCTGCCCTGGGGCTGGATGCCCCTCGTCGCCAGGCGATGTGCAGTGCAGCGGGTGCCCCTGTGACCACTCCACGCAACCCGCTCGCTGAGTACCTAGAGGTCCTGCTGTGTACAAGAGCGCTCCAGATGGCCATGCTCGAGCAGCAGTCATACAGACATGCTCCCACCCTCCCGCTCAGGCCGAGGGGGACACCACGGCGGCGGAGGCCTGCCTCACGCGCCTGCTGGAGTACGGCGCCCACAGCAAGGAGAGCGCCAGGTCAGCCATGGACCAGCTGCGCTGCGCGCTGGGCAGCGCAGCGACCCCGGTGCGCCCCGACACGCCCCCCTCTCGATGACGCCCGCCCATGCAGTGCGCATGCAGCCATGTGTGTGAGACGGGGAGGCACTCGGAAGGGGGGTACTGGCGGTTGGCAAACTGGCCGGCAGGGTGGGAGGCCGGGGAGGGCAGTAGAAGTGGAGGGCAGTAGAAGTGGTAGGAAGAGGGGCCGGGCTTGCTCCTGACGCAGGGCAATGTTGAAAGCGACTACCAGATGTTGTGCTGGGCGACAGCGTCCAAGAGCTCACGCATGCCCGCCAGGGTGGCAGCCGAGGGGCGCAGGCCCAGACAGATGAGGAGGGGGAGGTCACACCCGGCATCGGCCGCGCTCTGCGCCAGCTGCCGCGCGCACAGCTCCGGCATGGGATTGGCTCGGTCTCCCAGCAGGGTGTCCACCTTGAAGGTGCTGCCCCTGCCCAGCACCTGCTCCCGCTGCGTCGAGAGGACAGTCCCAAAGCTGGCCAGCTGGGAGATCACCACCAGCACGCGGTCGGTGTAGCGCGACACGAAAACATCAGCAGGCTCGGACTGGATGCTAATCTTCAAGGAGCGGCTTCGCACAGGAAAGCTCTCGGGACCATCACCCATCGATGGGCGCGTGGCGCCACAGGACCGTGACCGGCGTGGGAATAGAGCGACTACTCTGGCCCCAAGGTACGCAAGATTAGTCGTCTGAAAGCCTCTCCAATGCCGTTCCACGATGTCATACGTACAAGATCTGACTGTGTATACTAATCAGATATCTACATGTATCCCTTCGTGTGATAAGGGCTGTGCATTCCACAGCTCGGGAATGCAACTCGGCATGGGGATGCTCCCAGCATCCTCAGCACGCACCCGAGCCCGAAACTCCTCGGACAGCTCGACAAGTCGTCACACTGTCGACGCGTTGCGAGACTTCAAACCAGGAGCTAAAAGCTTCTTGGCCAACAACGCAACCTCCAGAGGGAGTTTCACTGTCTCCTGTGGGCCTCCACTAAATACCGTTGGTACGGCTTCTGTCGCCATGACTGCCGCGGAACCCGCCCCTCCCGACACCAAGCTCCTGGAAAACATATCCACCACGCTTTTCAACCTCTCGGTAAGGGATGGATTGCATTGAACACCGCGTGAAAGTGAATCACAGCTCCTTTCGGTGGCCGGCCAAGATATTCCGGGGGGGAGCAACCAGCGCCGCGCACCTTAACCACCACCCACGCAGATCGACACCCGGACCTCCGCGAGGTCCTCGGAACCCACCACACCCGGGGATTCTCCCATTTCTCTGGATTCCGAGCTGAGGGGCTGGCTCTCCGACACCCTGAGTACGTTTGCGTCCTCGCACCCCTCCCGGTCTGCACTGTCGGCAGCTGCCCGGGCATGCGCCCCTCGCCCCGGCACGCAGACTCAGTGTTCACCCCCTCGTATCACCACAGGCTTGGCTGCTACTAATCCCACTGTATACGTCAAGCTCCTCATATCCAATGGCATCGCGGGCTCCATCATCGGCAAGGTGGGCATGGCGACACAGAAGCTGGGGCTTTTTGACGGAGGACACTCTCCGAGTCACAACACGACGCGGCTGTCTGTCCAGCTCCAGTTCCCAGGTCCTCCTGCCGGTCAAGGCCGTAAAATGGTCCCTCCTCACCCCACCTGCCTCCTCCCACTGCAGGGTGGCACCAACATCAACGACTTCCAGGCCAAGACCTTTGCTCGGATCCAGTTGTCCAAGAGCCAGGAGTACTACCCCGGCACCCAGGACCGCACCCTGCTCATCTCAGGCCGCCTGAAGCAGGTGGTCGCCGCCCTGGCCCTCATCCTGGACAAGCTGGTGGGGGAAGGGGCGGCCCCCTTTAGCCCCCGCTCCCGGCTGCACCAGGAGCCTGACAGGGCGCCGCGCCTGCTGCTCAAGATGCTGGTCCCCCAACCCCTCTGCGGTATTATCATCGGCAAGGCAGGGGCCACCATCCGCTCCTTCTCCAACGACACCCAGACCACCATCCGGTGAGGCTTACTGATTTGTGTGGGGGGAAGTTTGGCGGAGAGAGCTGTCGTGAGGGCTAGGCGGAAAGGGAGTAACGCTGGCGCCAATGGGGTGGCTGGGTGGCCATGGGCTGAGCGCGGGCAGCTGCCCCTGCCTCGCACGGGGCCAAGGCTCGGCGCTCGCAGAGCCGAGCATGAGGCTCGATGTGCGCAACGCCCTCCAAGCCTAAATGCTGTACTCGGCGCCTCATTCCTCCCCTGTCCTGGGTCTAAACCAGCACCATTCTACCATGACTTCACCCCTTTCACTCTTCCCCACCTGCCCCCCCACCCCACACCCCTCCACCCGCCAGGGTGACCCACGGGGAGGGTGCCCCCCTGGCCCTGGCTCACCGCGTGGTGACCCTGTCTGGGGAGCAGTCTGGGGTCCTGAAGGCGGTGGCCCTGCTTGTCCTGAAGCAGAGCGAGGACATCCAGTTCCCTCTCTACTCCGACCTGCCCTCCACCTACGCCTGCTCCCCCGCCTCGGTCATGGCGGCGGGAGCGGGTAGCATGTATGGTGCCGGCGCGACCTCCCCGCCCCACTACCACTCTGACTCACCCCCGCACCACCACCAGGCGGGCCTGCCGCCTCGCCAGCCTCCCTATCCGGGCAACTGGGGCGGGGTGGGCCAGCACGACGGCGCAGACGGGCGCTTCGCCTACCCCGACGCCCGGCAGTACACCCGCTTCGCGCTCACCATCCCTCAGGAGCAGGCCGCCGCGCTGTCGGACGGCGGCTACACCCTGCTGAAATCCATGTCCCAGGTGGGGGTGTTGAAGGGGGAATGGATGACTGGCGAGGGGGAGAAGGGAGCAAGGGAGGCTGACGAGGGGGAGAAGGGAGCAAGGGAGGCTGACGAAGGGGAGAAGGGAGCAAGGGAGGCTGATGAGGGGTGTTTGTCCACCATTCCAGGGGTCCAGGCAGGGTGAAATGGCGGCCATGGGGCATGGCCAGGGGGGCCCTGCGGCGTCGGGGCCATGCGCTGAGCAGAGAGCAATGCCGGCCCTTCCCCCCACAATTTTGCTCCGCGCCGACTCTTTCCCCCGCATGTGGTCCACACCCCATGTGACAGGAGTCGGGGGCCAGACTGAGGCTGGAGCATGGTTTCCACCGCCTGCCGGGCATGGCGGGGAGGTACCGCGTGCTGAGCGTGTCCGGTACCGCTGTCAGCGTGCAGCATGCGCACGCCCTAGTCTCCAGCCACCTGGCGGGCCTGCACGCCCATGCCATGGGCTACGCCCACCCGCAATCCCCCGGCGGCGGCCCGGCCTGGGCGCACACCGTCGCCGGCTGCACCTACTACGCACCGCCGGTGCCGCCGCCCCATGCCTGGGCGGCGGCGGCGCTGGGCGACGCCGGGGTCGCAGTGCACCCGCCCGCTGGGAGCTGGGTGGAGGCCGAGTCCACCATCGAGGCCAGCAGCAGCGGGGAGGTGTCCCCCGGGCCCCGCGCGGCCACGCCGCCCGCCGAGCAGGCGACGGCGTGAGGGCGTGGGAGTGAGGACGAGCGCGTTGCAGACAAGCGCGTGGGAGACGAGCGTGGAAGGACTCCCGCAAACGTTCGTGAGCGTGAAAACGGTGCGTTCGCGTGCACCACACTCGGAGCACTGGGTCTGGAGTTGGGAGTGCCCATTTGACGCTCGGCCAGGGCCCCACATCCACTCCCTCTGTTGGGCACTGGAGCGCGGTTTCCAGTGATTACCCACCAACTGCCTTTTCCCAAGAGACCTGCACCGAACTTTCAGGATGGAAATCGTCTATCATTGCTGTCGTTGTCTGAGGGTGAGAGCCCACCTGCTGTAACAGATGCCAACTGGGACGGGAGGAACATCACAAAGTGTACATGGAGAGATAGGACAGGCGGCTGGGGGCGCCGTGGATGACAGCGAAAGAGGGGTGGCGGGGAGGTATCGAGGATGCTGGGCGACAGGAGGACGGGGGACTGACAGACATGTGTGTGCTGTCGTACGGCCGTGCGGCAAACTGCCGCACAGGTTCACGGGTCGGTCACAGCTCCAGGGCCTGGACGAGGCGGAGGAGGTCGTCGTGCGTCTGCCAGCGCAGCACGCGCGCGCGCACCCCTTCTCCCCGCTCCCGCTCGGCGAGCAGGGCGTCCAAGGGGAAGCCGGCGCGCGCCAGGACGCAGTCCTGCGCGCCCAGGCGCAGCGCGGGGCACAGGTCGTTGCAGCCGTCCCCGACGTAGACCACCGGGGGGGCGGGCCCGGCGGCGCCGTGCGCGCGGCGCGCGGCGTCGCGCTCCCCCACGAGGCGTTCCAGCTCCCGCCCCTTGCACAGGTTGGGCGGGCAGCGCGGGCAGCGTGGCGGGGCGGCGGAGGCGCCCGACTGGTCCCCCTCCGCCCCCGCCGCGTCGTGCAGGGGCTGGACCTGGAGCAGCCCGTCGCGCGCGTCCAGCAGGGTGGAGGGGTTTGTGGTCACGCCGTCGACGGCGGCGGCGACGCCCGCGGCGCCCAGCACGCCCGCCACCACCGCGGCGTTGCAGTCGGAGAGGATGTGCGTGGCCCAGCCGCGCGCCGCGGCCCAGCCCAGGAGGCGGACCGAGGGCGCGGGCATGTCACGGCCCAGCGCGCGCAGCGCGGCGGCCAGCTCCTCGCGCGTGACGCCGCGGCGCGCGGCCTCGCGCCACACCGCGTTGGTGGCGGGGATCCAGCTGGCGGCGGGGTCGGCCACCG